ATGACACCCTACCACTCTACCTGTTCACTGTATAATCTGATTTGCATGACACAGTGAGACAACCAGGGTTTACCGTCTCCATTCTGCAGACATGAAGACTAGGAAAGGCAGTGGTTTGTCCAAGCTCACACAGCTGCCAGGGAGCAGAAAGGGGCTAGAACTTAGGTCTTTTGACGATAGGTCTGGAGTTACTTTAGCTCTGCTATGGTTTTTCTGGCTCAGCTATTTTTCCCCCTGCTGCTGAAACACTTCACCACAGAAAAAAAATTGCTCCACGGAACCAGCCTCATCAGCGCATCACGCTTGGATTGAGATGCAATGTGGAACTTATGAACTTATTCTTCGATCTGTGACATCATTGGTCCCTTCTCTTATACCTGTGTGTACAGGTATTTACATATTTTCTTCATCCGCATTCCTCATTCTCATCCCTCTCACTTCTCAGTGGGATCTGTCCTCATACATTTAACATATATTCTTGTGTTCATAAGTGTCCTTGTGTAATGTGTACTATTTTGAATATATTCTTCTCATTTAAATAAATAGAGTTCCACAATCACTTATTCACAATTCTGAAAACTACACAGCTTTGGATCCCAAAAGTTTTTCTTAAACTCACTTAGCAGCAAAATCTGACTCAAGGTACATGAGGTTATTTGTGCTCTTTATCCACTTAGTGTAACCATCCCCACCTTTATTGGCTTCAATCATGAGATGCTGCCTTTTCCCTTTCTTAAATCCAAGTTTTTTGGATTCCAAAATAAATCTGACTCCAAGGGATTTAGTTGTCTACCTCTATTATAATAAATAGATCTTACTCTGTTTCCACCCAGTATTATGTTTTTAAGATCTATCCATGTTGTACATCTCGTCCATTACGTCTAACTGCTCCAGAATTCTCCCTGAAGTGGATCCCTCACATTTTACCTACTCACGCCCCTAGTGGTAGGCAACTAGATTGCCTCCAACTTCTCACCACTACAAACAATGAACACACTTGTCCCTTTACGAGCCTGTATGTATAAGAATCTCTTTGGGATATACACCCAAGGGTAGAACACTGGGTTATCAGGCGTGTGTGTGTACTTAATCTGACCAAGCCAGATGCCAGAACGCCCTCCGTTGTAGCTGCTTCAGTCTACTTGCATTATAAAAAGGATCCTGAAATTCTCCATTTCCAACACTTGTCAGTATCCAATATACTCATTTTTGCCAACCTAATAGGTATATAGTGATTTATCATTCATGTTTCCAGTTGTATTTTTCTGATTATAATATATCTGAGCTTCTCTTGATACTGGTTAGCCTTTGGAGTGTCCTCTCTGTAAACTGCCTGTTTACAAGCGTTGCCCATTTTCATTGGAGTTTCTGTCTTTTTCTTGCTGACTTGCAAGAGTTCCTTGTATACTCTCCCTTGGTTTTAGACCTTGCAAAGTATCTTCTCCCGATCTGTCAGCTGTCTGTTAACTTTGTCCGTGGTTAACAGGAAATCACACCACAGAACTGTTTGATTTTTCTGTAATCAAATTTATCAGTATTTTTCCCTATGGTTTGGAGCTCTGACGTCTTTAAGAAGTCCTTCCTCCTGCTGAGTGAGAAGGATAGTCTCCATTTTCTTCTCCTGCTGTAATAACTTTACTTTTCAGTCTTTCATCCACTTCCCAGTGGCTTCACCTCTGTGTGTCGTCCTAGGTTGGAGTCCAGTTTTATTTTTTACCATATAGTGAGCATTTTCCACCAAATAATCCATGCTTTCCTCATTGATCTGGGTACCATCTGTATCTTATGCCCAATACCCATAAAAACAAGTCCATCTCTCATTTCTCTATTTTGTTTCAGTGGTCCATTTGACTGGTCTTTTGCCCAACCCTGTTTTTGCTGCCATTGCTTTGAACGATATCTTTCTATCTGGTGCGGCTACTCCCTCATCTTCATTATTCCTTTACAAGTTCAGCTTAGATATTCATGGGCTTCTGTTCCTATATACTTTGGAGTAGGTTAATTATTATGTTCCTCAGAAAATTTATTTGTAATTTGTATTGAGATTGCATTGAATATGTGAATTAATTAAAAGAGACTTGAGCTCTTTATATATTAAGATATTCCACCCAAGGGTATGGAATGTGTTCCCATTTAAATTAAATCACTCTATTTTCTTGATTAGACTTTTAAAGTTTTCTCTAAAGGCTATTCTATAATTATACTAACTCAGGTAATAATCACAACAACCCTATAATATGGATACTTTTATTATCAGCATTTTCCAGATGAGGAAGTTGAGCCGAGAAAGACAAGCAACTTGCCCAAGAACACACAGCAAGTAAGTAACAGAACTTGGATTCAAACAGTTCAGAGTTCTTACTCTTAACCACTGCACTGCTTCTTTACCTACAGGCAGTTACTTTATAGTTTGGCTGCTACTGTGGATGGTATCTTCTCTTTATTATTATCTATTTGTTTTATTATCTGGTATATTATTTTTATTGTATTTTCTAAATGGTTGTTGCAAATAGAGAGATTTGGTTGATCTTTGAAAGTTGATATTTGTATTCAGTAAAGTTGCTGAATCCTCTTATTACTTCTAGTATTTGGTCTATTGTTTCTGTTGCTTTTCTTGTACATCAACTGTAAATAATGACAAGTTTGCCTTTTCCTTCCAATTTTTAAATCTTGCATTTCTTTTTCTTTCCTTATAGCTCTGGCCACAACTTCCAGTACAATGCTAGACACTATGTAGTAGTGATCATGGGCAAAGACTGTCTCTTATAGAAAAGGAATGTTATTCCAGAAGAAGGTTTTCATTTCCTCTTGGCTACAGTATGTGCAGCACATCAGAGAACGGTTTCTCAAGAGTATAGGTTAGAAACTGTCTGGTGGCCAAGAATCCACGGTGAGCAGAGGACCTGTGCTCATGTATGCCACAGAAATTACTTTTCCCTAAGAGACAGCCCTTCGAGGGGAGAAACAGCTCAGCTGTGATAAACTTCACTTCATTATGACTTGAAGTACGTTTAACTCCATCCTAAACCCCTACGACAGCAGCACAGCTCTGCACCTGTCATTTGCTTTACACAATCCGCTAGATGCAATTGTTTCTCACAATGTGTGGTCTCTGTTCCCATGGGGGGATTCACAGACAGCAGCATGGGAAGGAGCCTTCGAGATCAACTATCGCTCTCACTTTACACACATCTAAAAGTCCCTGTGGTGGGGGCCTCATCACCCTTGAGCAGATGATCCGCCTGGGGGGCTGATGTCTATAACTGAGAGAGCTTGAATCAGACCAGGGTCTAACACAGCTTTCTCCCTATTGGTGTCATCACCCCATCTTCAGTAGAGGTTAGCCCTGCTCAGTGTTCATGGTGGCATCAAGGCTTACAGTGACCTCATCCCTCCTGACTTCAATGGGGGCCCCAAGGAGAGAAGGAGGAAGCCACTCACTCTTCCCTCCTGTATCCCAAAAGGCTTTTCCCTCTCCAAGAGGAGCGTCTGCACAAAGCTGGGCACTGGCAGCTCCACTGTGAAGTCCAGGGGCCTCCATGCAGAGAGACCCATCGGAAGTTCTCAGCGGGTGACCAAACATCTCTCCCTTTTACACACACCCAGGGTGACTAACACTTGTGGTAGAAATGAGTGAACTGAAAAGCCCCACAGGAACCTCAAACCCAGCACATCCAAAATGGAATTTCTCACCATCTCTTCCAAACTCACTCCCCTCTTACAGGAACCCTGTGCAGGAACTGGAACCACCTCCATTCAGCCATGCTCAGTGCCCGCCTTTCTCTCATACCTGAGGAGTTACCAAGCCTTGGTCTCTCCCCACAGAGAACCCCTCCTGCCCACCTTCTGTTCTCCATTCTGAATGGGGCCTTGGCCACGTCCTCCCAACTGCCACCCGGGCTCCACTCCTGACCCCTGGGATCCATCCTCCACGCTGCTGTGGAAGGGATGGTCCCATCACGCAAATCCGACCATGTCTCCTGCCTAAAACCCTAGAAGGCTCCCCACCACGCTCAGCAGAAATGTACACTCCTTAGCATGGCATCTACGGCCCTCATGGTGCAGCCCGTTGCCTTCTCCAACCTCACACCTGACGGCAGAACCTCGAGATCACCACCTCCTTCCGCCCTCCCTTACTGTGCTCTGACGCCTGTTCCCTCCACCTAGAACCTGCCTCCCACCCCACTGGGAGCAGCCTAATGCCTCCTCATCCTTCCATACTCAGATCAGAGGCCGCTGCTTCTGGGAGCCTTCGCTGCCTCCTCAGCCCCGTGGCTCCTGCTGAGGTGCCCTCTGTCTGGGCTTCTCCTCCCAGGACCCTGTGCACCCATCCCACTAAATTGTAACGATTCTCTCCTGGACAATGTAGGAAACTGGGTTCTCTGAGAAAGTAGTTATTGCACAGCCAGTCTAGTTTCATCCATTTTCATGTTTAAGATGGTACCCATGAACAAAACGCATTGAGTCAGATTTGGTGTGGGAGTGCCCTGGAGAGACCTGTTCGCACGGGGCGTCGCGCACCTGGCACAACGTCGGCCTAGTAAGCAGAGGACCATCTGAATGAATGATGAATGAATGAATGATTTGCCCACCCCCACCCAGAATTGGGCGGGAGGTCCCTCACCATCAGGGCCCACCCTGGATAGAGGAGCTGCGAAGTGGCTGGCACTGGCGGGCGCTCCGTCGGGAGGGGGCGCTGCCGGGCGGCGGGGCGCGGGCCGGGCGGCGGGCGCGGAGGGCGGCGGGCGGGGACGGGCTTGCCCGGGGACCCCGCGCCGCGGCTCGCGCGGATTTCACTTTCGCTTCGAGCGGCGGCCGGAGGCGGGGGGCCGTCCCGGAACGATTGCGGCCGGGCAGCGAGTGAACCCGAAAGCGCGCCAGCGCCGCGGGCCGGACTCCACGTGTCACCGAGATGCTGATGTAGAGAGAGACAGAGAGAGAAAGCAAGCGAGGGAGCAGGTCCCGGGAAAGTCCTGCCGCGCCTCGGGGCAATTATAAAAATGTCACCCCCCGGGCCGGGCTCGCCACCACCGCCCTCACCTGCGGCGTCCACCCGTCGGCGTCCCGCGGCCAGTCCAGAGTCGGCGCAGCGCCCGCTCGCCATGTGCGCCCCGCGCGGTGAGTAGCGGCGCCCCGCTCAGCGGCCCGCGCCCTGGGGGACGGCGGCCCTTTCCTCCTGAGACAGCCCGGGAGCTAAGTGTCTTTATCCCACTCCACGGTTGAGAAGCGGAGGCCCCGTGCGGTCGATTTCCTGCTCAGGGCTCCCCAGCCACAGCTCCAAGAGGGCAGATCCCAGCCGGCTTCAGAGTGAGGCTTTGTCGGCCCCCGGTTTCCAAAACTATGAGTCTGGGCCAGTCACTTCACCACCTGGCCTCAGTTCCCCTCCTTGTGAAATGGAGGTTTTCTCTGGGTGGGCTCTGAGTCCCTTACCCTTATCTGAGCTCATTAGGGGGCCCTCACAGCGGGTTGGCTTCCAGCCCTAGAGGAGAGCGTGGCCTTCCGAGAACTTGATGCATCTGCAGATGTTGAAGGAAAATTGGCAGTGGGTGGATGGGTGGGGATGGCCAGAAGGATGGAAAGTAGGGCAGCCAAACCAGGCTGACAAACGTGACCTGCCCCTTGCTTCCAGGCCTCCTCCTTGTGGCCATCCTGGTCCTCCTAAACCACCTGGACCACCTCAGTTTGGCCAGGAACCTCCCCACAGCCACACCAGGCCCAGGAATGTTCCAGTGCCTCAACCACTCCCAAAACCTGCTGAGGACCGTCAGCAACACGCTTCAGAAGGTGAGCTTTTCAGTGTCCTTGTTCCACTTTGCAGCCTCTGTAGGGAAGGGGCTTCTTGGAGCCCCTGGTCACCTGGCGGAACTGCAGGCAATGGGGGAAGGTCCTTCACAAATGGCCCAGCTATGCGCGAAAGAGTCTCAATGAAATTGTGTCTCCAGAGGAAGCAGGAGGGGTCATAAATTATCATGGCGTTCATTCTGGCTGTGTCTAGACAGGGGAAAGTGGCTAGTTACAGTGTTCCCTGTAGCCTGCCAACAGTGTGTCTCTGACCCACGTATCACCGCAGGCCGGTGTGACCAGGCACAGCCTCTGTGCTCCAGGGGCTGCGAGCGTGAATTAGGCCTCCCTGTCACATACTGACGCATCTCGTCAGAGCCACACACTGAGGGGACCTGTGACAGTGCACATCCAGCCTTCATTTTCTAGGAACAGGGTTATCTAATTTTATTTACAGCTGCTTCATTTTTTTAGGTTTCATATTTTAATGAAAAAAAAGTGGGGTTTTTCCTTTTAAAAGTGCTCCCCTAGTTACTGCTTTTGCTGCAGCGACCAAAGGCCAGTGTGTTAAAAGCTGTCGTCTTGCCTTCCTGCTCTCTAGTGAATCTTTCTTGAATATTTTCTAGCTTGTTGTTTTGTGAATATCTTAAGATAAGCTCGATGCCAGTGGCCTTCTTAAAGAACTCCCCCTCTGTCGCTCACAGCCTGCTGCCCCTTGCTAGGTGCAGTTCCGGCGACCTTGGTTAGGAAGTGGCTCACCCAGTGAGAGCTGCGGAGGTCAGCACTTTGAGTCCCCAGGAGAGGTTCAATAGGGGGAAAATTTAGGGACTCCAACCGAAATAGATGCTTTCTGTGAAAAAGCTGACTCTCCCACTCCCAGATAGGGCACCAAAGCTCAAAAGACTGCAGAACTCAATTTGATATTTTTTATATCACTCCTTTGTCAAATTTGCCAGAACAAGTCAGCTAGCCCCTGGCAGAAAAAAGAGGGGGCAAATGTATGCAATTTGCAGGCCTTATCCAGCCCACGGACTTGTATAGTTAGGCCCATGTCCTTTGTATTTATTTTGATTTTTGAGTTTGATTCCATTGAGAAAAGTGGACTTTTCATATAAGAATCCAGATTTCCAGTTTCTCTTGAAAAGATCTGAAGAACCACAACAGAGGGCCCACGTTTCCAAACCTCACCCTTCGCAGCGGGCTCCGGACATTGGCTGCCAAGGTCTGCTTGAGCACCTGTGCAAACAGCGCACGCAAAGCAGCCGGGGCGCCTTTGTGATCCTACGGCTCTGGAGGCCGAAATTGGAAATGGGCCTCACTGGGCTGAGACGAAGGTGTCAGCAGAGCCGTGTCCCTTGCTGGAGACTCCAGGGGACAGTCTGGTTGCTTGCCTTGCCCTGCCTTCTAGAGGCGCCCACATTCTTCGGTGCACAGCCCCTTCCGTCGTCACAGCTAACAGTGGCCAGCTGAGCCTTTCTCATGCTGCATTAGTCTGATGTTGACTCTCCTGCCTTCTCCTTCCGCTGAGAAGGACGCAGTGATCACGTTGGACCTACTCAGATGTCCCAGGGAGCCTCACTGTTGTACAGTCAGCTGGTAGCAAGCTTCGTTGACTTTGCTGTGCAGCATGACGCGCCCTCGACTCCAGGGAGTGGGAGTGGACATCCTTTGGTGGGAGTGTCATTATGTCTACACTGATGGGTTTCACTAGTTGTTCCCAAACACATTCTGCACTCTCGAGCCTCGATTCATGGCTCGTGCAGCTCCCTCTGCCTGAGATTCTCCCTCCTTTGCCTGTCAACATCCTAAGCCCCATCTCTGGTGACGCCTGTGCTTCCCTGTCCACGCCCTCCTCAGAGCCTTCACAGCTTCTCAGTGCTTCTTCCCTGCAGTGCGTCTACTAGCCACCTGGGCGCTCGCAGATCTGCAGCTGGACTTAGAGCCCTGGGGGGCACAGCACCGTCTTCTTCTTTGTCATGCTCCTCAGGGCCGAGCCTAGTACCTGGCACACATCAGGCTTCTTGAGTGGAAAAATGATCCTCATCTTCAGTGAGGAGGTTGCTGACCTCTGAAGATCAATTTCATAATGACATTCAACAGTGCTTTCCCAATGTGCTCGTAACGTGACGTCTGTGTGTGCGTGCCACAGATAAAACCTCTGCTTGTCTCTAGGGTTGCATGTTTGATATAGGCATCAAATTTTGACCTTAACAGTTCCCCCTTTAGAAGTTATAGTTGGAAAAGATATTCATAAAACTCAGGTGCTTTGGCAAAAGAAAAAACCTGTTTTCACCAGAAGCCAGTGTCCCAGCGTGGTGTAGAAATCGATTAGCACAGCCTGCTGAAATGGTTTATGGTGTTTACGTAATAGAAAAGCATATCATCCAGAGAGACATGTCATAAGCAAAGGGAGAGGAGGGGGGGAGGAAGAAGTCAGTGACCTGTTCTTTGTCTTCTGAAGGGCCCAAGCTCCCTATGTGGAAGAGATGGAGGCTGAGGGCAGCCAGCTCTCGCTTTGCTGGCACCTGGGGTGCCAGCCTCACGCAGAGCCATGTGCCCTCTTAATATTTTAAACTGGGTCTCTCTTCGTTTTTTACAGGCCAGGCAAACCCTAGAATTCTACTCCTGCACTTCTGAAGAGATCGATCATGAGGATATCACAAAAGACAAGAGCAGCACCGTGGCGGCCTGCCTCCCCCTGGAACTCGCCCCGGTACGGACGGCCCAAAGCCTCTCGTGCTGTTCAGGGTGCCTCCAACCGTGTCTTCGTCCAGAGCGTGCACGTGTCTGGTCTCCATCAGCATGGCACTTTAACAGTCCCCACTTCAGAAGTCAGATTCGAAAAAAAAGTTACAAAACATTTGTTTTTTCACACAGTGTGACTATACTTAACTACTGAACTCTACACTTAAAAATAGTTGATGGTAAATTTTATATTATGTTTTAAAGAGATGTCTGAGAAGAAAACTCTGAAAAATGTCTATTAAGAATTAATATCTTTGATGTGATTTTTTTCCTCTAGAACGAGAGTTGCCTGGCTTCCAGAGAGATCTCTTTCATAACTGTAAGTCAGAAAATGAAAGGTTTCAGCCCGTATTATGCATTCATATCGTTGATCCTGATTGTTTTTCCTTCTAGAATGGGAGTTGCCTGACCCCCGGAAAGGCCTCTTCTATGATGGTAAGACACTAAACTCTTTCCTCAGATCCAGCGAGGGGGAAACGTTTTAGCCCGTCTCAACGGTTCCTTCCCCATTGTGTCACCTCACCCAGACGCTGTGCCTTAGCAGCATCTATGAGGACTTGAAGATGTACCAGGTGGAGTTCAAGGCCATGAATGCCAAGCTGTTGATAGATCCTCAGAGGCAGATCTTTCTGGATGAGAACATGCTGACAGCCATTGACAAGCTGATGCAGGTGAGGCCTTCATCCTGTCGGGGAGTGCCTTCTTCTTGCTGAGAGCCAGCCAGGGTCCCCTCAGAAGTGTAAGATCAGCCCTTCCTGGATTGCGAGAGGCCTGAAATGCCCCTTGGCAAGGCCCTGCAAAGCACCGGCTGGAGGGTGCCCCCCAGAGGCCGGCCGGTGCAGCCACGTCGGGGAAAGCAGCCTCCGTCTGTGGCCACGTGCCGGCACCAGGCTCCCTGCAGATGTTTTCAGACATTTCCTTACATTGTCCTCACAGCAGCCATGTGGGGTCTGTACCAGGAGGAAACCGAAGCTGAGAGTCAGCCACTTGTCCGAGGTCACACAGCTTGTAAGTGGCAGAGCTAGGATTTAAGCCCCCATCGCAGGGACTCCACAACACCAACCTTCTCACCTCTAGATGTGGCAGAACATGCCCGCAAGGGCTGGCGTGCACAGCTGCAGACCCGGCTAGAGAAGACAAGCGGCTCGTGCCTGGGTATGACCCATTTTGAGCTAAAATGTGAATGAAGTAAAGGAATGACCTATCACCCGGGGACATCCTCAGTGTTATTCATCGACAAGAACTTGCTTTGTAATTTCCTGAATCACCGTAGCACATGTGATACAAGACAGAAACATCCACACAAGAAGGAGCAGGTCGAGCGCCTTGGTGACCAGGCCTTGGGGAAAAAGATGCTGTCGGAAATCATTGTCTGAAAAGGAATTTATTTATATTTCATTCATTCATTCTTTTTTTTGGTGCCAAAAACTTCACACAAGCATCAAAGAACAGAGCCATCTAGAGAGCTGCAGATGATATTTCATTTTCAGGTCCAAGAGTCGGATGATTTGGGTGCTGGAATCAATTCTGCTGGTAATCAGCCATTCACCCCTCTGTGCCTCTGTTTTCCTCTGTAAGATGCAGTGGCTTTACCCATCCACCTTTCTTTTAGGCGTTTTGTGAGGAACAAATGAAGGTATTGATCGTTGTGCAGATATAAGGTCTTGCACTGTGTTATCAATTTAAAGGGCCAACACTGGGGGATCTGTTGCAGGGTCCTTATCTGACGCACACGAGTGTCTAGTGAACAGGTCTGTTACTGATAGAGAGTTCCAGTTAACAGCAGTCCGTCACCTCTCTGTTCTAAAAAGGACTTGACTTCTCCACGTGACACATGAAAATCAGTTAGTGCCACAGATGGCGCTGTAACACAACTGGTCTTTGCTAAAATGCAGCTCTCACCACGGATTTTCTAAAGAGCTTTCAGGCCTCTTCAGAGCTCACTGCAGCACAGGGGCTGGGAGCACAAGCGTTTCTTTTCTCAGGTTCGGCCTGGCCATCTGGCCGGGAGTCCATCTGGGTTGAGGAGACGTAGTGAGGGAGGGGGTTGCAGGCTCTGAGACGTGCGTTGGTTTCACCCATTTTTACGGATGACTCTTTTAATTTTGGAATACCACATATGAAATGCTCGATTTTTATTCTCCCAGGCCCTGAACTTCAACAGTGAGACTGTGCCACAAAAGCCCTCCCTTGAAGGACTGGATTTTTATAAAACTAAAGTCAAGCTCTGCATCCTTCTTCATGCCTTCAGAATCCGCGCAGTGACCATCAACAGGATGATGGGCTATCTGAATTCTTCCTAAAGAGCTCAGGTCTCTCCCAGCCTTCGAGTCATTTTTATAAAAATTTGAACCAAAGAAATTTTAATAGGATGTGGGTTAAGACCTGGGGAGGGGGTGGCTTGACTTGGTCCCGCTTAAGATGGTCCAGATTCTCATGCCTGTTTACCTCAGTCACCCCCAAGATGTGGAGGATGTGACTGATAGCCTTTCAAGTATATTTCACATTTACTATGGATAAGTTGTTTTTAAGTTTTCATGAGCAAATTGCTAAGGAGGGAAAATGTCCTCAATGAATGTGTTTTTCTTTTCCCTTTAATAGAAGAGCAAGAATTTATAAGCTATTTCTTTACCAAATTGTTTATAGACTCAAACACTCAAGCATAATTTATTTTAAAATATTTATTTATATAATTTTGTGTTCATGAAAGCATGTAAACTAACATATTTATTTGTTATATTTATTAAAATATTTATTATCAAATGGATTTGAAAAATATTTTGTTCTAAAAATAAAATGATTGAATTAAAGTAATTTTCATGTTTTTCTGATGTAATTGGAATACTGTAAGTGTTAAAACACACATTATGGGAAAACTGAAAAGTGATGAAATTTGAACAAAATTACCTTGGAAAGAATGCCACAATATTCGTGCCCATTTCCTAGTTCCTTTAATCTCGCAGGTTAGAGAGCACCTCGTAAGACTAGAAATGCTTTGATACAAAGGCCAATGAGTGAGTAAAGGTTTTTGAGAGTATACCTTATTATTTTTGTTCAACATCTGAATCTAAAAGTAAGATACATAAAAATGTTTTTCCCTGTTACCCACAGTTCCATAACATTCTGTGCATTAGACAGATACATAATAATACCCCCAACTGGGAAAAACATCATTAAGAGGCCTTCTGGTTAAATTATTCTAATTTTTGTGAACCTTTAGGCCCTCAGGGAGAAGTTGCTTCTAAATTATGAGAAAAACTCTCCATTTGCTTTAAATTATATACAACTTCTGCCTGAACCACGTTTGCCTTGCTTTTGCTTGAGATGTGCTCTTAATAACCCAAATATTAAATTCCATCTTTTTAATTCTCTAAGTCATGTGAATTTTAAAAGATTCCCCTGACAGAATACCATGTAATTTTAGTACTCTGATAATCATGCTCCTCCTTAATATGAAAAGGCCAAAAGAAACGAACTATTTACCGTTCTCTCCCTTCCTTCCTGTGACTGCTCCCCACCAGATGCCGGCTCTTATCCCCGTGGACTGTGCCGGGAATGAGTCTGGCCACCCCACATCCTCATCTGGGTGGCAAACTTACTCATTTTTCAGATTCTCACCCGCTTCATATACAATGACTGGAGAGAAATCATCGGTAGCTAGGGTTTTCTTGAAGGACTCTTCCACAAGCTTGAATGGCCTGCCAGTGGTTCACAGACCAGCGTTTCTTGGCTTTAAGTGTCAGGTTTGGGTTTCAGCAGCTCTGCCTGTGAGAAGAGCTGACGGCTTGGCGGGCTGGGCTGTGGAGCTGTGGCCGTCCCTCACGTGGAATGGCGATTTGTCTGCTGCGCGGCCGGTCGTCTGTGCCCAGACGCAAGCAGAACCTATACCCCATGGCCTGGGTTTATACAGAGGAACACAGCTGTTACGCTGGTTCTAGAAATTACCGTGGCTTATGCTTCAAAAACATGATTGGCCCAAGAAAAGTCCTCACAACTAACTCCACTCTTCATTCCATGGTTAGTTTCCACTTTTTTCTTTTAAGCCTGGGTCTACAATTTACAAATCGTCTAACATGACCAAGTTGTTCGTCTAACGTGACCAAGTTGTTTTAACCTCTCCCTGTTTCCTCTTCTAAGAAGTGAAGATAATACACCAGAACCAACCTCAAAGGATCAGAGCAAAGGTTAAGTGAACAGCTCATGCAAAGCACTTGCATTGCACCTGGCAGATAGCATGTGCACAATAAATGTGAGCAATTGTTGAAGATTGTTAGTCTTTGGGCTTGGTGACTGGGCCAAATTGCTTACACCACCTTTGCTACTGTTTTCTTATCTGTGACCTTCAGGAGTGGCAGCCCCTCTCTCACAGTGCTCCTGTGAGGAGTAAACGGCACAGTGCAGTGCTGGCATGCAGCTAGCGCTCAACATCAGTGTTTGTAAACTTAGATTGTTGCTGAAGACGTCAGTGCGCCCTGTCCTCCAGGCGCGAGATGCATCGGTGCTCAGCAGAGGAGGCCGACTGGCGCAAGACGGGGCAACAAGGCGAGGAGCCCCTGCCTTCACAGAACAAAGGTGGGGTGCAAAGGAATTTAGTAAGATGGAGGTCCCCCTAAAAACATTCTCCAGTCCTAGCCTATTAGAGACTTATTTGACTAACAAGTTACTTTTTTAAAAGGAAAAAAACAATGACAGTGTTTCTCACAGCTGAGAATGACTTAATCAGGGCATTAACACAAAAAACAGCTGACAGCTGTGCCCTGAGGGCCCAGAGCTTTGGGGAAAGGGCACAGTTCTGGGGAGCGGTCTGGCCCGCCATTCACGGGTACTGGACAACTCAAGAGCTGCTAGAGGCCCTTAGACACTGGGGAGGAAGGAAGCGTGGGGACAAAGAGGGAAGAAAGCCAGCTTCATCTGGGGCCAGCACTGACGGAGACAGAGTCCCCTTGGCGGTGTCACCCTGGAGCATTCAGTTGTTGTCTCTGCTTGAGGACTACATATCTGGTTCTAGCGAATATAATTTTGGCTTCCTAGTTTAAGGCAAAGCACATTACAATGTTGCTGTGGACTGAATATTTGTTCCCCCTAAAACTCTCATGTTCAAGCCCTGATCCCGATGTGATGGTAGTTGGAGGTGGGGCCCTCAGAAGGTTACTTAGGTCCTAAGTGTGGAGGCTCATGATGTCAAAAATGCCCTTATAGGAAGAGACTCGGAGAGGTCTCCCCAGCCCACGTGAGGACACGGTGACCAGGGGCCCTCTGCAAACCAGGGTGAGGGCCCTCGCCAGACAGCACATCTGCCCGCTCTCCTCAGACCCCCCCCCCCCCAGGACTTTGAGAAATAAACGTCTGCTGTTTAAGCCATCCAGTTTATGATGTTTCGTTGTAGCAGTCTGAGCTGAGAAAACTATTTTAAATACCAAAAAAGACCCAACCACACTTTTCAAACCTTGACTTGTATCAATTTTTTGGTTGAAGTGTTTTTGGTAAGAACACGTCAAAAACTTTCTATTTACGTATCTTTGGGTATGACATTATGAGTGTGAGTTATGACAGGGAAAATATACTCACGTAGCCTTTTTTTTGCCTTTTAAGATTGGCCCTGAGCTGACATCTGTTGCCAACCTTTTTTCTTTTTCTTCTTCTTCTCCCCAAAGCCCCCCAGTATATAGCTGTATATTCTAGTTGTAGGTCCTTCTAGTCATGGCATGTGGGACGCTGCCTCAGCGTGGCCTGACAAGCGGTGCCATGTCTGCGCCCAGGATCCGGACTGGAGAAACCCTGGGCCGCCGCAGCGGAGCGTGCAAACTTAACCACTCGGCCACCGGGCTGGCCCTCATCTAACCTTTAAGAGGAGCAACAGGAGCTAACGCTCAATGCCACAAATGCCGAGAATCCTCCCAATAACCCCACAAGAAGGACTGTCGACTTCCCCTTTGTATAGACCAGATAAGCTTGCCGCCGAGCGGAGGACAGACACTGACGTTCAAGCCAGGCACTCAGGGACACTCGGGGACACTCACAGGCACTCGGGGTACTTAAGGGCACTTGGGGGCACTCACGGGCACTCGGGGCACTAAGTGGTACCCTGGGCACTCAGGAGCACTCAGAGCAATCGGGGGCAATCCAGGTCACTCAGGGTCACTCAAGGGCACTCGGGGGAACTCAGGGGCACATGCGGGCTCAGGGGCACTTGGCGGCACTTGGGGCACTCGGGTACTCAGGGGCACTCAGGGGCACTCGGGGAAACACGGGGGCAGTCACGGGGACCTGGGGCACTCAGGGGACTTAGGGGCTCTTGGGGGCAATCAGGGGCACTCACAGGCACTCGGGCAATCATGGTCACTCAGGGTTATTCAGGGAACTTGGGGGCATTTGGGGCACACATGGGCACTTGGCGCATTTGGGGCCACTCTCGGATGCTGATGGGCACTCACAGGGCACTCACGGGCGCTTGCAGCACCCAAGGTACTCGGGGGCACTTGAGAGCACTCATGGCCACTCTGGGCACTCACAGGCACCTGGGCACCTTGCCCACCCCCCGCCGGGAGAGCCACAGCAAAGAAATGCACATGACTGGTGTGCTTGCATCCTCATGCCTTTCATTCAAAAATGGTAGAAAGAGACAGACAGGCAAATCTCCTTGGGTTCCCACAGGTTTCTTCTCATTTCTTTTTCTAATCCAGGCGTGAATTTTGAAACCTTAGTCTTTAAAAATCAAGTTATTCCCAATTACAGAAAAAAAGTTAAAAATTCTAAAATGTACATGCTTGCTTGGTTCAAAACAATATATATGCCTACAATGGGGGGAAATCCAAAATTCCTAAGCCTGTTGATTGAAACAATTTAGAGGTCTCTGGTCCGGATGACGCGGTCACTATCCCTTAGCAATGACATGCAGTGCCCACCCTGTGAGCTGGAGCACGTCCTCCTGCAGCCAGGGCCTCAGCTCCAAACCCCGGGGGGGCGGCACCAGAGACCCAGGCCACACCGTCCCCACAGGCAGGGCTGGGCTCCAGCAGGGCTCCTCAGGGACCCCTGGAGCGGCCCCACTCCTGCATGCTTCAAGGCCATATAAGAATCCAGATTTCCAGTTTCTCTTGAAAAGATCTGAAGAACCACAACAGAGGGTTCCTTTCACAGACGGCTTCCACAGCCAAGAAGTTAAAAATTCACTGAACTCGTCCAAGCCCTTCCCTGCAGTTCAGTTTCTCTAAGTAACAAAGCCATCTTTTAGACTTCCCAACTTGCTTGAAAGAAAACCCTGCTACAAACGCATAGAACACACCCGTTCTAAAAACGAGCCCCACGCCAGAGGCATAGCAAACAGCAGGAACGGACTTCCACAAGGTCGATAGCTGACTAGCCCAGGCTGTCTAACTAGGAATCTACATCACGACTGGAACAAACTGAATCCAAATCCACTGGAAGCTCCAGGGTGCAGCTGGAGGGCCCAGCTAAGCGGCAGAAAGAACGTCAGAAGTCCGTGCTCAGAATTCAACCCAGAGCCTCCATTTCAGCATCAGCAGCCACAGAGCCAGTATCAGAAATGCCCAAACCATCGTATGCGGGCTAGAAAAGACAAGGCCAGCAGCAAGGCCCTAGTTACCCAGTTGGGATCATGCCCTTCAGCAATGTGCTGCATCACCCAGGAAGGACTTCCAGCAACGGGCAAGGGGCTGGCCAACCGCTGAAACCGCCATCCTCACGAGCGCACTTAGAGGAATCGGCAAGTCCGGCGGCTTCCGTAGGAAACGGAGTGAAGACGCACTTCCACACGACAAAGCAGGGGGTGCTTTTCCCCTAAAGCAGTCCAATAAAATAACAAAATGAGTCCCAACGGTGCAGAAAAATCCCGTTAGCAAGATGCATAGGCAAGGGACTAAAATGAATCAGCCTGGTTTTAAATAAAAACACATCTTCCCATCACCAAGGGGTGGGGACGGGGGCGGAGTCGGGGTGGCCTCTAAATGGCTCCTGGAGCGAGAAGGTTAGGCGACCGCAGGTTCTCCTGAAGCTGAGCAAACTCCTGGGTAACCTCATCTGCCTGGCTGCACTCACTCGGCCTCAGTCCAAGAACCGAAGGGCTGGGCACAAAACCAACTAACGCCTAGAGCATGGCAGCTGAGGAAAGTGATGCTTCAAAAACTAATCCCTGAGTAAATAATAACACAAAGACACAGCACTGTATAAATGCAGATTTATTTGTCCTCCCTTCATCCAGAGTATGAGCAAGGTTGAAAATTGTTAGGAAACCAGCTTATATACAAAGCATCTCTGAAATTATGCTTTTCTTCAGAGAACTTATAAACATTTAAAAATTCAAGTCCTTTAAGTATTTTACTCTTTTGAATATGAAAATTCCATGTGTTTCCTAAAATATAGTACAATTAAAAGCAAAACTTATAAAGTGACACTGATTTGAACTCCACAGGATCCCTGACAAATAAAAATATGTTCTTCCCTATAAAGTAAATTTGTTCTTCACAGGCAAAGCTATAGTTAAAGTGTGTTTCTCCGATTAATTCATTGAGATTTATTTTACTCTCCAGCTAACACCTACAGAAGACTAATGGTAATTTATAGTTCCTTCAAATAAGTTAACAAAACGTATCCAAAATGTTAATCACCACATACATGATTCTGGGAGAATGATAACATCTACGGATCCCATAAAAACGACTTCACTGATTAATAAGAGCCAATGGGCTCGATATTCCCTGGGCAAGTCTTCCTCAAGAAGAGATCACCGTTCTCCCTTGGTGCGGCTAAGGCTACCTCTGAGTGGAGCAAATGATCCCAGGGCGAGAGTCAGAAAATGTAGTGCTTGGCCTGGTGATTCTGGAGGGCTGAGGAAACTCACAAGGATTCCCTGAGGATCGATCCAGGGGAACTCCCCAGTGAGAGGAGGGGACCGCCTCTGAGCGTGCACACTGACACTGCGATGGGGGAGATTACATTCCTCCCTCAGCGCTCGAGGACCAGGCAACACGACTGCTTCAGTGGTTCAACAGACCACCAGCCAGACAGGTTAGCAATGTGCGATATGAAAACCATTTCCCACATACAAAGACGCACTGGACCAGGGGCACGTGTGTCTGAGTGGGAACTAAAAGAATAGGAACTTCTCTTCATTATTAATGTCAATGAGAAAAAAGCTAAATTACATTGCTGCAAGTATATCACCACTTAATTGCTAAAAATGTTTCAAACACTTGATGTGAATTTCATAGATCACAGACTCCAGAAGGAAGATGAGCACGTTTCTCATCTGACTGGCTGGGGCCCGCTCAGCACCTGTGTCAGTGTACTTGTGGGCGGGCGTGCAGGGCGCGATGTGCGAGCGGGAGGTGCAGAAACAAATCTTGATATTAGAGATGTGTTTTCTTCCTCAAGTTTCCAAACATGTTACATTCCCTGAGGGCTGTGAGCTGTAGAGTGGCTGACGATTAACAGGAGCTGCCTGCACAGGCTGTGAAGTTCAAGGTCTCATCGAGTCTACACCCACTCCGGGCTGACATGGTCTTCTGCAGATGTAAGGTCCCCAGGCCTCCTTTCTCAGTCCGTCTTCCAAACTTCATGTTCCCCGTAAGAAGCCTAACAAAACAGAACCCAACAAACTCAGGAATTCATTGCAGGGGGAGGGGCATGCTTTTAAAGACAACACTCGCCCCTTCAAAAGGGCTGAAAATAAGCCCCGGCAACAAAGGCTGCCGTGGAAGATACTAAAACGTCGTGATAAAAACACAAAATTCAGCCAATTAACTAGATATTTTGGCTACAAGAGAGCAGAAGATACTGGTACATTTGGGGGATTTTGTTTGTTTTTAACTCATAGAAGGTTTTTCTCTTTTAATGAGGAGATTGAACTACTAAGCTTTTATGATCCCTTTCACTGCAAAAAATCTTCCAAGGGATCAGCAAGTCAAGTGTCTAGGGTGGTCAGGAGCAGATACCAACAAAAAACCAAACGGCAACTCACTACTGAGGGTTTGTGAGCTAGATGCGCCCAGCTACTTGCGATGGAAGAGACTGACTATTGGTTATCAGAGGGCAGCGGCCACTGCTGCCCAGAGGCCAGCCCTGCGTGCAGATAAGCAGGCTTCCACCTGGGGCCTCAGGCATTTACATGATTCAACATATCTAAGAACAGGAGCAACCTTTGGATACTGACAGCAACCCCTCCCCCTCCGGGGCAACCGAAGTCCCACAGGGAGTTCAGACAGCGGCCCTCGGTGGGTCTGAAGGCCCCTGGAGATCACCGAGGGCTGTTCCTTTTCCTATAAACTCCTGGGGCGTTAGCACACTTTCACATTCTTTTTGGAATAAAAAGTCCAAAGAAAATTCCAAATAAAACTTCTCTCTGACTTGCTGAGGCTTCTGAGAAGTAACACCACACGTGCAGTAACAACATGGAACAATAAAAGTTTTGAGTTGACTTGACCTCAGGCATAACAGCGTGCTAGGTCAAGCCACAAAAACAGAAGTGCTCAAAACAGAGGAAGGAGCAGTGTGGCTCCTGGGCTGAGACTCCCGGTGCCTCGCCGAGCCCTCTCTGGTCTCCGCTTCCCTTCCCTTCTCTGGGCTCGCTGGTGCCCCAGTGGCTGGTCCTGCTGTGCTGCCACGCCAGGGCGACCCTGCCCGCTCCTGCTCCGGCTCAGCGCAGAGCAGCATCTCGGCGCTCTCATCCACGCCGCGGCGCCGAGCCTTCCCCCTGCCTCGAACTCCACCGGCACCACCTCTTCATTCTCACAACAAACCTAGCACCCGGGCGGGTTCGGCGCCATCTGACGGCCGGCGCAGGGAGGCTGCCCCTTAGGGGAAAGCTGGCCGGCACCTGAGCTGGGATTCGAGCTCTTGGCGACTCCACGCACAAATCCTCTGCACTTCGACAACGGCAGCCCACATGCTTCCTGCCACATCTGCGTGCTTCTCTGAACCACGCTTATAAATAGCCAAGCAATACATTCTACACCAGAAAGTTGCCATTCACGAAGACACAACTTGATTCCAAGAAAAGGCCTAATTAGGACAACTTCCTGCTCACCTTTCAGCATGTCTTGGACTTCAACCGGGACGTTTTTCAAGCAGTTATATAAATTCTGGGCTGTAGCATTACCCTGCTCCTTTTCTTGCCACTTCTTCAGCACCTTAAAGTTATAGATGGTAACATCTTTCTTCTCCTGGATATCGTCAATATCTCTGGTGTCCAACGCCAGGCTGGCCATGGCCACTTCTGTCCACTCCTTCCCCAGCTTCCCAGCAAGCGTGATCAACTGAGCGTCTGTTAACAGGCTTCTAGCCTTCACTCCATCTAAAAGCAGACGAGGAATTCAGCACTTCCTCTCACCACTTCAATCATTTATAACTATTTATAATGAAATTGTATGCTCCTTATAGGAAAAAGACACCATGATTTGTAACTTTAACTGCTTTTAAAATATGTTTAAGTGCCAAAAAATCTCTGCTTTCCAAACTATTGTAAGGGCTGAAGGGAAGTATTTCACACAACATTAAACCGGGCTATGGGGTTCACGCTGATAATCAGTGAGTCAGGGAATGAGACTCTTTCACAAAGCAGTACAAATTAAGTTGCAATAAAAAAAAAGTCAGACACCAAAAATAATTTATGTGGCCCAAAAATAAAAACAGACAGTTTTGCCCTTGCCCACTTCGGTCTTTATCTAATGTCACACCACATACGGATGCTACCTCAGTGGTCACTACAGAGGGTGGCAGCAGATCAGAATCGCAGTCGCCATAGTGCCATCTCCTGGCATTCCAGGAAAAAGCGCATTCCACAGAAAAGTCACGGGATGGTATTCATATTATCTGTTGATCTCTAAGAAACAGTGTCATAATCTTGGAGGGGCATATGTTTGCCAATGCAAACCACTGGTCCCATAAAAATATCAGCCCTACCCTTAAGCTAGATTTTCCACTTTTATGTCTTTTAGCTGGTTGTCTCTGGTGCAGCAAAGCTCACTGGCTGCAGAGTTCTGGGTAAGGATCCTCACAGCGATATGCTGGAGGGGACGCGGGAAGAGGGTGAGAGGTCAGCACACCACTTCCTGCCCCTCCTCTGGGACCGCAACACCTCTGCTCACCTGTGGCTGAGTTATTGATGTGAACCAAACACTTGTGCCTGGGCCCTTTCCCCACTCTCTGACTTTCCAGACTGATGACCTGGGTCCCTAAAGATGGCCTGCGCTGCTGGTGGTTTCCTGACACGTGGTCGGCTGCTCCTGGCTCTCAAAACTTCTGATGCGATGAAAACTACACAGTGAACCTACTGATACTCAACCTCTCAGGACCATCACAAACCTACTGTATCAGACTCTGAACTTAAATTTCAACAAGATCTCAATGTGATTCTGTTAAGGTTGAGTGCTGACCATATTTTTAAAAGCAACACAGTGATATACTGAGTCTAAAACTACCAGGATAGTGACTTAATATCTCAAAGAATGTTGTGGAAATACCCAAACAAAAGTAAATCTTTATTAATTTACTTAGATACCACATCCTCAACTCCAAAAAGGGTGGCAATTCCACATCTTTATAGGTATTTAATAATTTTAATTCTATTTCTAGTTACTTGCTATTGGAACTAGTTTCAAATAGCCAAATAATTGCATGAAACAAGAAAAACTTTTCATATATATCAATTTAACCTAAAATTGTGTCCTGCTCAGTGATAAGATGAGTAAGTTCTGAGGATCTAACGTACAGCATGGTGACCATCTGCAGTAACGCTGTACTGTAGACTTGAAATTCGCTGAGAGTACGTCTTCAGCCTTCTCGCCACCAAAAGAAGAACGGTAACTACGTGAAGTGACGGATGTGCTGATTAACTTGAATGGTAAATATTTCACAATGTCTATATCAAATCTTCACATTGTACACTTAAGTATACACAATTTTATTTGTCAGTTATATCTCAATAAAACTGGAAAAAACGTATTCCAATTTAGTCAGGTCTTAAAAATAATTCCAGAGCCTCACTTATTTTGAAGTTTACTTAATAAAACTAAGGATAAACGATTCCATGGTGATGCACAGAAACTCCTGTAGCGCCACCACACAGCCTCCAGCTTTCAGAAACTGAAGATCATCTTATTCCACTTTACAGAGAAAGAGCTCGCCTACTTTTAGACATTCATACCTCACAATTATTGTAAAAGGAAAGGAATTTTGAGGAAAGGGGTAATTTGGGGAGTTACATGAGGCCTCTAAAGCCTTGAGACTTTGTCTCATGAGTCTGAGTTTTGAAACCCAGGTTTGTGAATTCTGGTTGGACTTGAATTTTGAGCTCCATACTCCATCTTCCAGCTCCTTAGTAAGGGACCTGTTGTCCTGTCTTAAATCTCTATTGCGTCTTCGCAACTACTGAACCTTGGTCTCTGCCATTTAACTGGAAGAAATTAAGTTGACACTTGCCCCCAATAATTGAGCTGGAGGCTCTCCACCCCAGATGTAGCTAACAACTGTGAAGTCAATCAACGCACACACAGACATTCACAATCTCATTCAATCAACATTCATCATCTTCTACACAAAAGACTCCATGCTCAGTGCTATGGAAACATGAAGATGGCGATTGCCCCTATCCTTACGGTCTGTAAGGGAGCTCCCCGCAACCCTCTATTCTATGTAGACTGAGTGAAGGGGAGGAGTGGGGAGTCAAGTTGGAAAAGCAGGCTGGGGCAGACCAAGGAGGATCTTATCTAGGCCTGAGGAGCCACAAGGAGAAGGCATCTGGGAGGACAGGCACAACTGGGATGTGGCTCCAGGAAGACTGACCCAACAGTACATGTGTTAGATGAATGTTGATAGCAGAGACCAGGGAATTAATTTATACCACTGATGACACTTTTACAAACCTGAAGTGTCAACCTGCTTCATTCTTTTATCATAGGCCTCCTCATCAGGTAAGCTGCTACTCAATTTTCGTCGCCTGTTACCTTAAAAAAAAAATCAACAAATTGGCATTGCCTTATGTTTATTTCCTACTCACCTTCCATCTGGAGTTTCTTTTTAAATCATCATTCAAGTAGAAACAAATTGAAATGATTCAAAGGTTGTTCAGATGATTGAGAGAGCTACAGGACATGTAACAGACCCTTAATGTCACCACATTTGCACAGCAAAGCAAACATCCCAGCAGACGGAAGGAATAGGAGAGTGGAGTCCAGCCACCAGCACTTACCACTCATGCTGCTTTTCGAAATGTTCCGATTCTGATCGTGCTGAATCCAGTCACCTGTTAAAGAACAATAAGCACTGACTGGAAAAGCAGAATAAATGTGAATTACAGAAGTCAATCTGTGAAAGCGTGTGGAGCTCTCACATCTCGGCAACCTCTCTGAAGTGCAAGTATGGATCTGGGGCTTTAACTGGTATGTGCACAAATGCACTGGGCTGGAATTTTGAGATAAATAACCAGTACTCCTTCCAACAGGTCTGTGAGGTAAGTGCTTCCCAAACTAAGTCATCTGCCTGCCACCATTATGGTTTTCGCCACACCCATATGCCAGCTGAAAGGTTACTTATCCAGTACCTCTTTAAATCTATAACTGCTGCAAACAGAACACTGTTATCACTTGCCATATGGAGAAGGAAGCCACAAAAATAAACATTTTTCATTGCAAATGTATTTATATGTACTCCACCTAAAAGAGTCCCACATATTATCGCACTGTATTCTGGAGAATGCTGTGTTAGAGTTCTTCTGCACATGTCACCGGGACTCTGACCCAGCTCCCTGTCTGGAACTCAGCCCCTGCTCTATGATGTGCCCGTCTGATGCAGCCTTCCACAGGTCCCTACAGGGAAGACGCCTGCACAGCAACGACTAACCTCAACCATTAGCTTAGTCCAAAAATACAATGGAGACCAGAAATATCTTACAACAGAGAACATTATTGAAGAAGCTTAAAAAAATCAAACACACGAGGTATTATAAAGTGGTCTTTAAAACTAGCAAGAGATCCGTTCCCAGTCCAGAAAAACATCTGTCATTCAGGTTGCTGCATGTTAAAGACCTCTATTACTGTGGCATTTGCTGTGATTAAAAAGTAACACCTGAGCAGCTGAGGAGGCATGGAAGCTGAAAAAGCTGAAGGTGGAGGCACCATGAGTGCTGAGATAAGAATAATGTATTTGAAGAATAAATCAAGAAGTGACATCAGCATCATCGTGGTGTGAGCTGTTCCCTTTATCTCTCCCCTCTAAGTTACAGCTAAATGAAGATTCAACAACCAGCAGAATTCCCAGCACAGCACAACAGGGCATCTGAGAGATCAATGCAGCTGTGCATCAGGTGGTGGGTGGACTGGATCCCTGGGAGGCAGTGGAATTAGGTGAGTGCACTCCTCCCGCTCCCCAGCAGAGCAACCTATGTCATGGGTTGTCACACGGTGGCCAGTGTGACTGCAAGAGGAGGCGGGGCAGCCTGGCTGGCTCAAACACTTTTGGAGTTGTAGCCTGGTCAGTGGGAGTGCCCACCATGCCACAGCAGCCCTACCCATGGAAACACTCCCCACCGAGTGATGCAGCTCCATTCCTGTGAAGGAGCCCCCACCAAGCACACCAGTTCAGCTGAGATGCCCACTGGCACAGAGCCAGCCCTCAAGCAAAAGAAAGTGCCCTTCTCTTCCTGCCTTCTGCACCAGCTCGCCCCGTCCCCTGCCAAGCACAGTGGTCCTGCACGAGAGCAACCTGCTGGCAGAGCACAGACACTCCACCTGTGCGTGTGTGATCTGCTAAGTGGCTGCAGCCAGCGTGAAATGCAGAGCAGCCCTTCTGGCACAACGTCCAGCAGATGGGGCGGGATCAGAAACAGAGCTCCTACCTCAGCCCGGTAGTGGCAGGTAGAATCTGTGAACCTGATACAAACACAAATCCACCACCAAAGGATCAATTCATCAAACACCATGAAGAACTACAGTAACAGTGCAGAGCAGAAGGAAAATGCCCAGTCTCCAGAAACCAATCCTGAACTCACAGAAATTTACAATCTGAATGGCAGAGAACTCAAAATAGTTATCAAAAGAAACTCAGTGAGTTACAAGAAAACTCAGAAAGACAGTTCAATGAGCACAGGAATAAAATTAATGAGCAGAAGGAATACTTCATCAAGGAGAGTGAAACTCTAAAAAAACCCAAATTCTGGAGATAAAGAACAAAATCAATGAGATAAAAATAATGTAGAATGGATTTAAAAAATACAGCTGATATTACGGAGGATAGAATTAGTGATTAAGAGGACAGAAAGAAATGATTCAGGTGGAGGAAGAGAGAGAACCACGAGTTTTAAAAAATGAAGAAATTATTCAAGAAATATCCAACTCAATTAGGAAACGCAACATAAGAATTATAGGTATTCCAGAGGGGGAGGAGAGGGAGAAAGGAACAGAGAGCTTGTTCAAAGACATACCTGAGAAATTCCCAAACCTGGAGAAGAAACTGGACTACAAGGACATGAAGCCAACAGAACTCCATCAATGCTAAAAGACCTTCTCCAAGGCATATACTATTAAAACTGGCAAAAGTCAACGACAAAGAAAAAACATTAAGGGCAGCAAGGGAGAAGAAAATAATCTACAAAGGAGCTCCTATCAGGCTTTCAGCAGTTTTCAGCAGAAACCTTACAGGCTAGGAGAAAGTGGAATGATATATTCGAAATATTGAAAGACAAAAACTTTCAGCCAAGAATATTCTATCCAGTGAAATTATCCTTCAAATATGAAGGAGAAATAAAGGCTTTCCCAGACAAACAAAGCTGAGGGAGCTCATCACCACTAAGCCTGCCTTAAAGGACATGATGAAAGGAGCCCTCCTACCTGAAACAAAAAAGCAAAGGCTTACACAGCTTTGAGCAAGTGATCAATAGACACACAGAATCAGAAAATTGCAGCTCTAAGTCAGAATAGGTCAGTAAATACTTAATTATAACACGAAAACAAAAGAAAGGAAAGCATCAAAAATAACTAAAAACACTTCAATTTAGTCACAAACTCACAACACAGATAAGAACAATTTATGACAACAATAACTGAGAGGAGGAAGAGGCAAGGGATGGAACCTGCTTAGGCTAATGGAGATAAGAGGCTATCAGAAAATGGACTATCTCATCTAAGAGATCTTCTATGCAAAGCTCATGGTAATGACTAAACAAAAAATCAGAGCAAAGCCACAATTCATAAAAAAAGAGAAAACCACCACAGAAAACCACCAGACTGAAATGGCAATCAGAAAGACAAAGGAAGAGAAACAATGGAAATATGGAACAACTGGAAGACAAGAGATAAAATGGTACTACCAAGCCCTCATATATAAATAATCACTCTAAATGTAAATGGGTTGAATTCCAATTAAAAGACACAGAGTGGCTGGGTGGATTAAAAAACAAGACCCAACAATAACGCTGCCTCCAGGAAACACATCTCAGTTTGAAAGACAACCATAGGCTCAGAGTGAAGCAACAGAAGATGATACTCCAGGCAAAAGGCAAGCAAAAGAAAGCAGATGTTGCCATACTCATATCAGACAAAGTAGACTTCAAGATAAAACAGACAATGAGAGACAAAGAGGGGCATTATATAATGATAAAAGGGACATTCCACCAAGAAGACATAACACTTCAGAATATGTATGTACCTAACACTGGAGCACCAAAGTATAAAAAGCAACTGTTAACAGACATAAAGGGAAAAACTGACAGCAACACAATGATAGCAGGGGATCTCAACACAGCACTTACATGAACGGACAGATCATCCAGACAGAAAATCAACAAGGAAACAGTGGCCTTAAATGAAATACTAGATTAGATGGACTTAATAGATGTATATAGAACATTACATCCAAGAACAGCAGAACACACATTCTTCTCAAGTGCACATGGGACATTCTCAAAGATAGAGCATATGTAGGGAAACAAGGCAAGCCTCAATAAATTTAAGAAGATTGAAACCATATCAAGCATCTTTTCCAACCACAATGTTATGAAACTAGATATCAACAACATGAAAAAGGCTGAGAAAGTGACAAATATGTGGAAACTAAACAATATGCTACTGAACAACCATTGGATGAATGAAGAAACCAAGGAGAAATCAAAAAATACCTGGGGACAAATGAAAATGAAAACACAAGACAGCAGCTCTTATGGGATGGAGCAAATGTGGTCCTAGGAGGGAAATTTATAGCAATACAGGTGTACCTCAGTAAACAAGAAAAATCTCAAAGAAGTAATCTTAAACTACACCTGACAGAACTAGAAAAAGAACAAACAAAGCCCAAGGTCAGCAGAAGGAGAGAAATAATAAAAATTAGAGCAGAAATAAGTGAAATAGAGACTAAAAAATCAATAGAAACAATCAATGAAACTAAGAGCTACTTCTGTGAGGAGATTCAAAACTGACAAATCCTTAGCCAGACTCATTAAGGAAAAAAGAGAAAGGCTCACATAAAATTACAAATGAAAGAGGAGAAATTACAACAGATACCACAGAAATACAAAGGATTATGAGAGAATACTATGAAAAGCTATATGCCAACAAACTGGACAACCTAGAAGAAATGGATAAATTCTTAGACTCATACAATCTCCCAAAACTGAATCAATAAGAAATAGAGAATCTGAGTAGACCAATCACAAGTAAAGAGATTGAAACAATAATCAAAAACCTCCCAACAAACAAAAGTCCAGGACCAGATGGCTTGTACACAGAATTCTACCAAACATTCAAAGAAGATTTACCACTCATCCCTCTCAAACTACTCCAAAAAAACTGAAGAAGATGCAACACTTCCAAACTCATCCTATGAGGCCAACATTACCCTGATACCAGAATCAGACAAGGATAACACAAAGAAGGAAAATTATAGGCCAATATCGCTGATGAACATAGATGCAAAAATCCTCAAAAAAGTATTGGTAAATCGAATACACCAATATACTAAAAGGATCACATACCACACTCCAGGGGAATTTACTCCAGGGACACAGGGATGGTTCAACATCTGCAAATCAATCAATGTGATACACTACATTAATAAAATATGGAAAAAAATCACATCATCATCTCAAAAAATGCAGAGAAAGCATCTGAGAAGATCGAACAGCCATTTATGATTAAAAAATCCTCAATAAAATAGGTATAGAAGGAAAGTACATCAACATAATAACGGCCATATAGGACAAATCCACAGCCAACATCATGTTCAATGGTGAAAAACTGAAAGCCATCCCTCTGA